TTTAGTTCATTTCTATAATTCCTTCACTTTCAATTTCAATTCTTCCTTGTTTAATTTTTTTAATTCCTTCTATCTTTTTAATAAATATAATATACTTTTCTTCTTTGTATTGTTTTATTTCATGTTCATCAAAACTTATCATCTCATTATTTGTTCCTCCTATACCTATTTCAATTTGACATTTTTCTTGTTTCATCTCTTCTTCTTCAATCACTTCTTTGATTGTCTTTTGTTTATTATTCACTTTTCTAATTCGAATACTATCAATTCTTTCTCTTCCATACATAATTTCATTCATTGGAATTATTCCAATTCTTTCAATGTTATAGTTGTTAATATGAATTCCTTTGTTTTTCATTTCTTCATTAATACAACAAATACAAAGACTCTTCTTTTCATATTCATTTTCTTTGTTATTGAATACAACACTTTCTGGTATTTCTATACATCTCATCTCAGAAACTATTTCTTTTGTTTCATCAGAAATCATCCCAACAATGATTTTACTCACATTCTTTCTTTCAATTTCAATTTTATTAATCCTTATACATACTGTTTTATATTCTTCTTCATTTTCTTTCATTCTCCTGAATTGTGAATCAAGAAGATATCCCAAATCACCTTCCATCCTTTTAATTCAAAGTTCTACGATGATTAATGTATCTAATCTATTTTTAATTTTGAAACCAAAAGGAACTGAGAAATCAATCGACACATGACGAATGTTCTTCAATATGTCGAGACAAGAAGAATAGGGGAAAGAAATAGAATAACTCGAATTGAACATCCAGAGAATAGTGAAGTAATAGTGAAGAAGGAATATCAGAGATTAGATACAAACACAACCCCATTTTGTTGTCAAGTCGAAGAGTGATAATTTGATTATTTTAATAATATGAATTCTGGTAGTTTTGATTTTATATTCATCTTATTATTAAGTAATCTGATGAGAATGTGAAAATACAATGCATGATGTCAATAATTCAAATTGATGAATAAGAAACAAATATGTGATGAATAAAAGAAGAATAAGAATGAAGTGGTTAATGAATATAATTGTATCATAAACAATCAATATAATGAAATTATCAATAAAATAATAATAAAATAAAATGAAATATGAAAATTAACAACAACAATCAACAATCAACAATTTGATTAATGAAATAATCAAAATATAAAATCAAATTCATCATTATATTCTCTCATTTCTAAATATTTTAATATAAATGAAAACAAAATGATGAATGAAGAATGAATAAATATAAAATATAAATAAAATAAATAAGAAGATAAATAAGATAAAATATATAATAAACAATAAACAAAATAAAATAAAGATATAAAATAAAAGATATAAAGAAATAAAATAAAAAAGAAAGATAAGAATATATAATAAGAATAAAAAGAAATAAAGAATAAAAAAAAGAATTATAAAACAAATATAAAGAATGATATATCAAATAATAAAAAAGAAAAGAATAATATCAAAAAGAATAAATAAGAAAAGAATAATAATAATATAAATGATAATCAATTACAATTTACTTCTACTTCAAATTATATTGTATTTCATTTATTGAATTTTTATTTCATTCAATACCTTTTGTCAAAACATTTTCTTGGTATTCTTTTATTTTTCTTTAATTCTTCTTCACACCTACATTCATAAAAACAATAATTTCCAAATGATGTAATTGAAGATGGTATATTAATTGATTTTAATGATGAACATCCATAAAAACAATAATTTCCTATTTCATTAATTGATGATGGTATATTAATTGATGTTAATGATTTACATCCACTAAAGCATTCATCTTTTAATTTAATAATTGATGATGGTATATTAATATATGTTAATGATGAACATCCATAAAAACA